CACACTCTGTCCTAGTCCCTCCTTCCTTTCAAGTTCGCTTCCGCACCCATCCTTCACCCTCCCTCTCCTTATCTCTGTCTCTCCCTCCTCTCTCTTTCTGGCTCACTGGCTCTTTGTCTCATCGACTTTACAGTCGCCGGGGTTTGGAATCGTTGAAGTTGGAATGTCCAGAATGTCACGGCAAAAAATCGTGACCCGACAGCACCCTTTGCTGTGGACTGCCTGGTACTTGTAGGTTGGTTGTTGAAGTTTCTGCTTGGCACGCCTCGCGAGGCACCTGAAGGGATAATCACGCTGCTTTGGATGCTTGTTTCTTGGCTCCAGAGTGGGGCAGACTAGCAGGAGATCCTCTAGCGATCGCGGGTCCGTTGTAAGCAATATCCCTTCGCACACGGTGCTGCACGCTGCTTTTGGCAGCATGGGTCGAAGAGTGGCGCTGGCAGAAATGCTCACTCGTTTTTACTTCTTTTCACTTGTTCGCATGGACTGTTGCTACAGAGCTTCCCTCTTCTGGCGTGCGCAGGAGACCGGCTGCTGTCCACGCAGCCGCCTCTGGGTGTGCATTCAGCAGCTCTATTCTTGAGCCTGTCTAGCTTAGGTTTCCACTCAAAGGGCGAGAGTACGTAGGTCCAGATGAACTCTGATTGAAGGCAAAGAGCAGGAGGAGGTACGCCAGCTGATCCAGTCTACGGATGTGGACGGAAATGGCGTCTCTTGGAACAAACTGTCTTAACAGTGCCGCTGGTGCTTGCAGCTTGCCATGCAGTCGCTCGCACGACTACTGAGGTGATTGACTTCGGGGAGTTTAAGGCCCCGCGCCAGAGAGAGGGTTCCAACGATATGGACAGTTTGAGTCGGGAAAATACGGTAGTGACAGGAGCTGGTGCAACGAATTGAAGAGCGTTTCGCCAGCCTGCGCAGCTAGGCTGATTCGCAGATGTGAGATGCATGGGCCGGGACATGATGTGTGGAGTAGAAGTTATGCTCAGACATTCAGGCGATTGCA